ATTTACTTCAAAACGCGTGCATACGTGTACGCCGTTTTAAGAGCATTCAAGGAGAGGTATTTGTTTCTCCAAATTGCTTTTACCAAGTTCCGTTTTTAGTTAGAATGATGTGGTGAAATCTTGAAACCTGACAACAAAATTGCTCGCTATGTTGATGATAGTACATAAGGCAATGTCAGACACTAAGGTTCATGACAACCTCAATATCACTACTACATTAGGTCGGGAATTGAAAAATATTTAAACCGGTTTATTCATAATGGTGTGTTCAAAATTTCAGAAAATTAGCTACTGGCTAACTGGTTCCTAAAATGAGTGGGTAAGGAAAACCGCACGTTGCAAGCAGTTGCATTACTACCGTTTTATTCGAAAATATTACTCCACATGAAAATATTTATTTCCATGATTCAAGGCATCTGCAATATTTTTCGGAAGTACGAATTTTGCTGCGTGCTGCGGTTTTTACCGGTCCTTCTGCATTTAATTACATACTCATGTGTTGTTTTTTGAATAATTTTATTTATTTTCGAGACACAACAGGTCGAGTTGTATGGTATAAACGATTGTATTTTGCAAACCTTTACTCTTGCCCGTATTTTTGTCAACATGTTTAATTTCGTCTTGCCTTAGTGCTTCAGGTTAGACTGCTTTCTTCGTCTTCAATCCAACGCCATCTTTATGAATGAATAGCTGCATTTCCAATCAGCTTATAAACCTAACGCACTGTCACCTGTTCATGAGGGTATTTCATTACACCACATTACAGTGAACTCCTCTGCATTTTATTTAAGAAGAACATCGTTCCATTATTTGAGTAACGCTATGGCAATCGTCATCCCTTTTTTATCAAAATAGGTGCCAACTATGAAATTGCTCATTGCTGTTAAGCGTCTTCCAATAATCGATTCTGGATTCTCACAAAAGAGGAACAAAATCAAAATGTATAATGTTGCTGCCGGTAGGTAGTTGGTAGATTGAAGGTATTTGAAGATTATTTTTATGCGAGAGGCGCTCAGTAACTCAGCTTACTGCCGAACGGCTATTGGTATTACGGAAGAACGTTGAGTATGAATAAATTCATAATCCGTGAAAAAAATAGCTGCTTACCAGGGAGGTTTTCCCCAGCCATCATTTAGTCGGCTGCAGTCAAATCTGTAATCATTGCAAAGCGTGTAAGCTCAGCAAACTAAAACGCAGAATCACTGCAATCCCTTCATTTGCAGTTCGCGTAAAGTTGGCCTGAGTAAGACAGTAGCTGATGTGCGGTGTGACAGTAGATTTCCGCTGAACACTACCAAAAGGCTAAATGTCCAGCCCTACGGGTGGGTGTTGTAACCTTCCGAGTGGAAAATAAGTTTACTAGCATAACCTACCGTATTGCTCTTTCATCGGTTATTAAGTTATTACTCTGATTATTTACAAAGCGCTTTCAGAGGCATTCGAGCTATTTTTAAGTTTAGTGTATGTGTGCAGAACCATATGGACATATGTAGAAAGCTGATTTAAATTAACTTAAAAGGAACCACTTTGACAAGACAAAACGTGATGCGGAGATTTTGCCACCGTATTTGATCTACGCCAGAGATCCTTCGTGTGTTAACTAACGCGAGAAATCGGATGGTTATCATTTTACCGTTCAAGATGATACTTGGACTCCTGATAACTATGTTATGTGGTTGAGTTCTTTAACTACGGGACGTAAAACCCGGAAACTAAAAGCTAAGTTAGGAACTTTTTCTGCGAGGACCATCAGCAACCTGCTTGCTATTTGTACTAGGTAATCCTTACACTGAAAAAGATATGAAAATGTAATGGACCTCTTTTGGGGCGTACATGATCATTTTCCAGAAGCGTATCTCACGCTGGTGTCATTTACTAATATTACACTACGAAAACTGTTATTCTAAGGGAGCAACCTCAAACAAAATATGCACCATTCGTTGAATGGCGAGACGAGGAAATACACACGGGCTACATTGTAAAAACACGTTATTAAAGAAACACTAAGTGCCTTCTCAAATCAATCTGAGTAGCGGTCAAATTGTGGATAGTAACCTGTTGCTCTACATAATTCTCGCTAGTAATAGTGATACAGAAAAGGGTCGTACAACAGACCATACAACATTCTCATATACGTCTACAGTTCTGTGTCAGGCGCATGGCTGCACATCCAGGTAAATACGAATAAAGTATTTATGAAGCTTCAAGGAAAATGGTAGGTTGGCAACTTTTATTTGGTTTCACTTGCATAACCCTCCGTATTTATTCTATCGAATTCCCTTGTTCACGGCTGTATACGTCTTTTTATTTCATTGGAGAAACGTTCTGCCTTGCATTGTGTATCACATTATCATCAAAATGCACTAGGACTCGCTGATGCTGA